GTGAGTAGAGCCGCATGCCACCGAACAATCAGCCTTTTCACCGTGTAATTAAAAGTGTGCAGAGCACGCAGGGCCACAAACCGAGAATTTGCTGTTTGGCAGGTGGCCGTCGTGGCCAAGTGAGGCTGGAATTCGTGGAGTCGGCTTTCAGGAAGAAATTCCTGCCGCAAAGGGGGTTAAGTCCTCAGTCCTTGAACTGTTGGACTGGGGACTTTTGGAGTTAATAATGAGGTGAATTGCAAACACCAAATTCAGGTTTTTGGGGAAATTAGCCACAACCATATTATTGTTTAACTGAACAGTTTACGCAAAACTTTGCCAAATAAGCTTCACACAAATTCATGAACAAGAACAGACATATCCCAGTGAATGAAAATTATTAGGAATCATGCAAGAACTGTAAAATTGCAAGTCTTCATTGCGGAAAAAACAATTTTTTCTGTTTTGTGATGAATATCCACTGCTAAAATGGGAAGAACAAGATTCATAATTTCATTCTTGGAAAAGGCACATTTTGGGCATTTTTAATAATAAATTTGTCAGATAAATTAAGAACACTCTTCAGCAAAACTTTTTGGGGGGTAGGGACAAATCTTGCCAAAATCTACAACTACCATGCGATATGCTGCAAGTAAAGGGGTTGCATCAGCAATGACTTAAAACTCTGGGGAGAAATGAATGCATAAGCAGACAGATGTATTTATTTGCTAATGGATGACTGCCATTCAGTGCACAGTGCACCCACTGGGAGACCGCCAGTGAGTCGGTCAAATTCTGGGTCTCGTGGCAAATGGGTTGATGCCTCAAAGTAACGCCTACCTGATCATGACCACAGAAGCATGCACAGTGCAGGGGAGTAAACATGAGAGCATCCTGGGCATGTGGGTCTGCGTCGTACCTCAACAACAGCTCTGCAACCTGGAGATGAAAAATGAGAACACATGTATGTTACAGGGACAGTCGGGTAACAGGTGTAGGAAACATGCTTCAAAAGGCACATTTATTGACAACAATTTTTGTGAAGGAGTTATGTGCATTATAGTACACTGGACAGCAAAAGAAACTTGCCAC